ATTATTTCCGTCCACATTTTTTGATTTAATTAAAATCACAGTTCATTCTCCAAATATTTGACTAATTTGCAGTTCTTCGATTAAAGTTCAGTTTTTTCAATACTTCATTATTTTGCATTTTTGAAAGAAAGTTGAATAAAGTTTCAGTATTCAGACGACAATAAAGACAATCAGACGTTTCATTTCATTTGAATACCCAACATCAAGACTCTCGGAATCATAATACAATTTTCCATAAAATACATGAACGTACTGTTATTTTTTCTAACAATTCTTATAAATTTCCTAGGCAAAGTCTGAATAAAAGCTGAACGCTATGAAAACGGTGCGGAAAAGTTCGTCTTACGGAGGTAAGACTATTTATTTGATAAATAATTTAGGAAAAAGTTTACATTTTATTGAAATAAAAATTGAAATATTTTGTAATTTACTGTACACAATCGATTTTTTTTATCATTTTCATTTATTCTCACTGTTTTTATGCGAGTAATGTTCAATGTCTGCTTGAGTCATGTGCACCTTAAAAGAATGGACTTTTTTATGGGCATATTTAAAGAACATTATGGGAGTAGGTCAATACAAAGTACTCGGCTCGATCAGAATGAATTTGCATGACCATCGCTCATCGTCTCAGTACATTACAGAACGCAGACATCATTTGTGTTGATCAAAGTGGAAGAATTGTCGAATCAGGCTCCTACATCGAATTGCTCGCATTGAATCGAATCTAGACTCATCTTTACAATGCTCAGGAATAATTGTAAACTCAAGCCCGGAAATTTAATCTAATCGTCTGAATGCCTATATGTATCAAATTGTATTATATTTTTTTATTCCTATGATTATTCTTAATTCACTCATCACATTTTCAACCCATTCAAAGCGGTGACCTTTTTTCGATTTTTTTTGCAAAGTTTTGGAAATTTGGCTTAAATACAAACAAGACGTAAAGAATCTATTCAATTTTAGCTCTTTTATGAGGTTTATTAGATTATTGGATTCTTTGTAATATCAGTACGACCGATCTAAAATTCATACGATTTTCCGAGTGGGTTAAACTCACACTCGCATTAATTGTAATTTGAGTCATAGATTTGAATATTTTTTTTATATTGTATTTAAATGTTCTTTATTTTATTTTGCTTAAAAGTTCGAATAAAATCAAAAAAGTGAAAAAGGTGTGTTGTGAATGTAGGTTGTATTCATTGTTGACATCAGTTGACATGCTTCAAAATGATGTTCACAAATCTGGTGGATTTGGAACAAAATATACCTTGTGAAGTTTCTTCACGCTGACTTCATTTTGACTGTCCGTATTGTTGTCCGTAGCTTCAGCAAGAGAGACATCAGCGAACAATAAAATTTGCTCTTGATTGGATTGACCATCGACTGAAATCGTTGACTGATCGATGGCTTCATCGTGTTGATTGTGTTGATTGCCGGCACTTTCATCATCGGCATCGTTACCATTTTGCCGTTGGGTCAGTGTTTTTTGTCATAAAACTTTTGTCATAAGACTTTTGTCATAGATGCCCATGGGCAACTATTCAATTTCGCCCATGGGCAAACCACAATTTCGCCCATGGGCAATCACAATTTCGCCCATGAGCAAGACTCTCACGCCCATGGGCAACTATTCAATTTCACCCATGGGCAAACCACAATTTCGTCCATGGGCAAGACTTTCACGCCCATGGGCAACCATTCAATTTCGCCCATGGGCAAGACTTCCACGCCCATGGGCAAATCACAATTTCGTCCAAGTCTCTTGAAATTTCGCCCATGGGCCGCGGTCCATAAAAACTGCCCATGGGCATAGCACTCCACATTTAGCCCATGGGCGAGACACTTGCCCATGGGCAATCCTTTTGAAATTTCGCCCACGGGCACAACACTCCGAATTTTGTCCAAGACTCTCACGCCCATGGGCAACTATGCAATTTCGCCCATGGGCAAGACTTCCACGCCCATGGGCAACTTTTCAATTTCGTCCATGGGCAAGACTTTCACGCCCATGGGCAAACCACAATTTCGCCCATGGGCAAATCACAATTTCGCCCATGGTCAAATCACAATTTCGTCCATGGGCAAGACACTTGCCCATGGGCAAATCTCTTGAAATTTCGCCCATGGGCCGCGGTCCATAAAAACTGCCCATGGGCATAGCACTCCACATTTCTCCCATGGGTGAGACACTTGCCCATGGGCAATCCTCTTGAAATTTCGCCCACGGGCACAACATTCCGAATTTTGCCCATGGGAGACGCGAAATGTTGCTAGTTTCTTCAGTATTGTTGATCAATTTGCTACTATTTTTGGCGTCAGCAGTGGCTTTGTGCACATGGGTGATTTTGTATCGATGTTCGGATCGCCTGAACATTCAATAACAACAACATAGGTATATCGTTCGATGTCTTGACTGCTCACAAAATTGAGTTTTTAACGTTTGCTCGAGTGTAACGTTGTTTTGGATTTTATTTCTTGTCAGTTAATCAAAAGTTCCTGGGTTGGAAAAATCAAATGTTGACGGTTGAATTGAATGGAATCGAATACATAGTAAACACAATTAATCTAAGAATATTACGATTTGATGCTCACATACAAAACAACATTTTTAAAGCATAAATGTTCTATTTGTGAAATGTCATTTCACCAATAGAATATTTCATTTGTATTGGTAATTTCAGTACAAGTGCCAAATTTACTAATGCTGTCTATTGTATTGAATTTACCAATACAAATAAAAAATTTCATTGGTAGAAACACGTTTCACCCATAGAATTTGCAGGGTTCACTAATTCAGTTTTCTCTGTGCAAAATCCGTTTAAGTACCATTTTCACTATAATAAAAACATCTGGAAAATGGTTAGTACTTAAGCGTATTTAATTGTCAAATCTCATACCGCAGCTCTAAAGTCTAGAACCAATGTGCTTGGTGTAGAGGGAGCTGTCACTTTCATAGTAAGCAATACAACCTCACTGACAGTATTCGATCACACACTCAAAAGAAGTACGCAGTACTCAATGCTACACAACCACTTTATGTCAGACATTTCGAGGAAGAACACAGAGCAACACGTACTATTGACGATCAAAGAAACATAAAGTTTGAAATAAAAATAAAACATTTAGAAAAGTGATAATTTGAAGAAAAAAATCAAATATTCAAGCATAAGTTGTCCTTATCACTTGTGTATTTTTCGAGGGGCAAATCACTCTTAGGTATTGCTTTTACATAAATGGTATTACTTGGTATTACTTTCCGTACAAATCAAAAGTAATACCAGGTGCAGCGCCTGTCCAACCGCCGGTGCAGCCGGTGCAACGCACCGAGGCGCGAGCAAAAATTGGTATATTAAAGCGAGCGCGCCAAAGGCGCGCGAGAATAAAAATTCTCAAATTTAATTAATGCGAGCGCGCCGAAGGCGCGCGAGTGTTCTATTTCTATGTATTTAAACACATAACGACCAATTTTTACTGACGATTACATTTAAAAAACCGCAAGATGAGTTTTAAAGAGCGCTAAAAGTTTTTAAATATACTTGTCAATCATTTGAATGAGCGCCGATATTGTACTGTTTACATTTTGAAATTTGGAAAATGCGCTAGAAATATAAGCAAAATTTGAATATCAGTCCAAGAGAAGCGCGCCAAAACACAAACGGTGGACACCTTTTTTCACATTGTAATTGCAATGACAAAAGAAAGAGATGAAAACATAAATTTATTGTTTACGAAAATCGAATAGAATGGACAACAAGAGATGTCGTGTATTCGGATTTTACGAACAAGAGCGTACAACGTACACTGTGCGCTGTGTGTGTATTGTTTACAAACGGATCTAACAGTGAATTGTAATAAAAAAAACACTGTCTCCACAGCTTCAGTACACGGCTAACTTGTTCAAACGTATCCTTTATATTAGTATGCTTGTGATCTTGCACGCAAAATGTTCTTGTCGACTAATTTTGTTATTTTGAGTTATTGATTTCTGTTTTTTTCTGTCGGGCTATTTTGCTATTAAAAAGTTCTTATTTTCTTGAGAAAAAAAATGAATCGCAAGGATAAGTTAATCAAAAAGAAACCTTCGGGTGCCGAATTTAAGAGAAGGAGAGATGAAAAGGAAGCTGAAACGAAGAAAAGTACACAGAGCATTAGCTTGTTCTTAACGAAAGGTAATAGATAAATTTAAAAAGTATGAACAAAACAGTGAACATAGTGTTGTATTTTGTGTTGAATGTTCTAGAATCAAGTGAAGTTTTGCCTCTTGAAAAATCCGATGTTTGTTTGCCGAACGAGAAGGAATGTGAATACCGTGATGATTCGCAAAGCGAATCGGCAATTCTGCATTCAGGTATGAATTGAATTGAATGTTGTGTGTTGAAAATCATCAGTAAAAATTGTTTCGTATTGATCGTGTGTTATATTGCAATTTTCAGCGTCAAGTGCATTTGAATTTGATGTTTCCAAGCGTGATGAAAATGAAGAAACCTCAAATGGCAATGCTGACGCAATTGGTTCTGATATTAGTGATATTATGAACTATCCAGTAAATATGTCTCAAACGCTGCTCGAGCGCATCATACGCACTGGGCCCGTTCAAGTTGTAATTGCTTTTCCTACAACTAATTGCCGGTCGTTTTCTGAGTCATATTATACAAAGAAAATGCTCAACGGAGACAATGTTAACCGCGAATGGCTTATTTATTCAAAAGGTCTGGATTCTGTGCATTGTTTTTGTTGCCGTCTTTTCCAACAAAATCAAGTCGATACTGGTTTTGCTTCAATCAATGGAACCAAAGATTGGAGACATTTGTCTACACGGATCAAAGAGCATGAACTTTCAACACTGCACATTCAAAATTACACCAAATGGAAATCATTTTTGAGCCGAATTTCGGAAAATAAGACAATCGACAGCGAATTATTTAAGCAAATACAGCAAGAAAAAGAACGATTAAAAGATGTCTTCAAGCGAATTATCGCATTTGTACTATTTTTTGCACGCCAAAACATCGCATTCACCGGATCGACATCAAAACTTCATGACTCATCTGGGCGGAATGGTAATTTTCAGCAGCTGGTTAAGACGGTAGCTACATTCGATCCTGTCCTTCGAGAGCATATTGAGCGTGAAAAAAATCATTACCTCTCTCCAAAGATTCAAAACGAACTTATCGCAATTATTGGTGCAAAGGTGAAGACGCATATTTTGGATTGTGTTAAGAAAAGTAGATATTTTTCGCTCATTTTGGACAGCACAACTGACATCACCCATGTTGAACAAATGACAGTCGTTTTACGGTATGTGTTTGAGTATCAAGCGACTCAGCGTTATGAAGTTAGAGAGAGTTTCATTGAATTCTTGGAAATGCACGAAAAAACTGGACTTGGGATCAAAGAAATGGCAATCAATGAATTGGAATCACTTGGATTAGATCCCGAAAACTTTAGAGGTCAAGGCTATGATAATGGCGCGAACATGAAAAGGAAAAACATCGGCGTGCAGAACCTAATTCTGGAAAAATACCCAAGAGCATTTTTTGTACCATGTTCAAACCACTCACTAAATCTTGTTGTGAATGAAGCTGCTGCTGCATCGGGGGCAACCGTTAGTTTTTTTTCTTTGGTCGAAGAAATTTATAAATTTCTTTCAGGTTCTTCGAATCGGTGGGATATTATGAAAAGCCATATCACGACAGCTTCCACGTTAGCTCCGAAAAACCTTTGTACAACTCGATGGTCCAGTCGAATCGCTGCAATGAAACCACTTCGGCTGAATCTTGGCAAAATAATCGCTGCATTGGATGAAATTAAGAATTCAACCGCTTTCAAGGATAAAGTTCGTTATGAAGCTGGAGCAATTATCGACAAAATTGATTATCCGTTTGTGTGTGCAGTATGTATGTGGTACGATGTTTTAAGTCACGTTAACATTGCTTCGAAAGCCCTGCAATCAATTGATTCGGATTCGCAAGCCGCTGTACTTTGTTTGGGTAGTACTAAATTTTTTTTGGAAGAATACAGATCAACTGGACCTGAAAAAGTTTTTAGTGAAGCAACAGAAATCTGTGAGAGTATGGAAATCGAGGTCGTTTTTACAAACAGTCGCAAGCGTGTTGCTGTTGGACGTGAAATAAATTCGGAAGAAAGCTTCCAAAATGATTTCATTGATGTTGTCTTGAACGTAGCAATCAATGCAGTAGAGGAGCGATTCGTTGCATTAGAGAAGCACAATTCAACATTCTCCTTTCTCTACAAATTTGACGATTTTGATCAAGCTGACGACACTTCAGTACAAACATCATTCAAGCGCTCGCAGCGCCATGAACTCTCGTATCATTTTGTATTGACTTTTCGATAGTTCATGAGTTCGCCGTAGACTTCGTCAAAACGTGTCGTCCCTTTGATTTTGATCAAAATAGAAGAAATGGAAATTTGCTCAAGTCGTGCAAACAGCTTCAAGTAACGCTTTCAAAGGGAGAAGAATGTGATATTGATGTTGACGAATTGATTTCAGAGATGAAGGTTGTGGCGGAATTGGTAAAGCATCGTCATTTGGTTAGAGTCATCGATATACTCAACGGGATCAAGAGCAGCGGTATGGAAAATCTTGTCCCCAACGCCGTTATTGCTTACAGGATATTTTTGACAAGTCCTGTGTCAGTTGCAACCGCTGAGAGGACTTTTTCTAAGCTGAAAATAACTAAAAACTACCTGCGCAATTCGATGTCACAAGACCGTTTAAATGGCTTAGCTACAATATCAATTGAGCATGAAATTGCTGATTCAATTCAATATGAGGATATCATCGACGAATTTGCCGCTTCCAAAGCCCGGAAAGTTTCCTTTTACTGATCAGTTACGAAAATTCGCAATAATTAATAATGAACATTAAATTTTATATCACGCAATAAAAATTATTTACAAATCGAATGTAAAAAATTCATGAATAAATACTGTTTTCGCTACAAAAAGATACGATTTAAAATTTAAATCAATCATTGTCAAAAAAAATTGAGTCATAAAATTTCAGGGGCGCATGAATAAAACTTGCACCGGAGCGCTCGGACAGGCGCTGACCAGGTGTATTACTTCTATTGATCATTATTACTTGGTATTACTTGGATATTACTTTTATTCGGTATTACTTTTTTCATAGAAATATCAAAAGTAATACCAGAGGTATTACTAGAAATAACTGAGGTATTACTTTTCTATTTGGTATTACTTTTGAGTGATTTCCCCTTGGTATTTTTAGTGATTTTGATAGTGTTAATAAAAAGAAAAATAAAGTGAAAATGCCGCCCAAGAGAAACAACGCTTGGAAAATTTGGAACGTTGAAAATCAGTACGTTTTTCCTTTTGAATTTTTGATGTTTAAACTGGACAAACCGTTCAGATTAAAGGTGTCGATGGACACGGACGGACAAAGAAATTTGCATTTTCAGCCGTCCGATCGTCCGTCCGAAGTTCCACGCGGGAAGAACGGATATCCGTCTGACTGAAAAATTTTCTCGGATGGCCGGACAAACCAGCCGGAAACCGGACTCTATGAAGCACTTCGAATAGCCGTGTTCTTTCGGCTGTCTATAAATTCACGGTCGTTTGAACTCGGAAATGAAATAAAAAAGTTTATTCGCTCTCACACATTTCCAATAATAAACGAAGAAAATAAATGTTGAAATTTGTTACTAAAGGTGTCAACGGACACGGACAAAATTTGTTTTTGCCGAATTTGTCCGTCCGTCCGTAAAAAAAGTTGTCAGTCTGTCCGTCCGTCCGTCCGTCGGATTTTTTTTCAATTGCCCGAATGTCCGGCACCATGTTCGGACGGACACGGACCATACATTTTTATGTCCGTCCGTGTCCGTTGACGCGTTTAATGGGATGTTCGGACATTTGGACACAATTTTGTCCGTTTGACACCTTTATTTGTTACACCGAGTAAACCTATTAATTACATTTCCGAGATCGAACGGCTTAAAATACTCGGACGTCCGAAAAGAACACGGCTGTTTCAAATGCCTACATAAAGTTTGGAAGTCCAGCTGGTTTGTCCGGCCGTCCAAGAAAAATTTTTGGCCACTACGGACGCACCTTCCCCCTTTTTTGCGAAGTATTTCTCAAACTTTTGTCCGTTTTTTTGGACGACTGATGTTCGTTGTACCGTTTGTAAATCGAATCAAATTTTATATGTAGGTTTCCAGGTCCTCTTTCAATTGATATATAAATCTTTTTTATGTTGGGCAAAATGAAACTGAAGAAAAAAATATCGACAAAGTACAGATAAACCTTAGCACTAGCAATCTGTGCCATTTTTCATCAGGCGTCTACACTCGCATTGAGTTTGTATTGTGAATGTTAAGGTGCGTGCAACGCACTTCAATGTAAAAAACAATACAAGTGGAGATGATACACGAGATTTATCTGTACTTTGTCTGAAAGTTAATTTCCATCACCCAAACATTTGATCCGATTAACAAATTTAGGTACAATGGACATCAGTCGTCCAAAAAAAAAATGCGATATCTGAGACTGGACAACTATGGACCAATTATTTATCAATCTTACAGAGAGGAAGGAAACGTAATGCCAGCTGCCAATGATGAAAACAAAGGCTGGAAAGTGGAGTACGTAAAAAATGTTCCTTTTTGAAATGTAGAGAGTGTTATATATTCAACGAATTCACAGTGCAAAATTGTCTTTGCCTGCGATCTACGATGTTTCTCAAATTGAGAATTCACTAATTACATTTACAGGGAAATTGATGAAGAAGGGCTGCCGATGGAAGCGGACAAGCTAGTTGTCGTTGAAATCAGACCAAAGCGTCCGAAAGCGATTCACCAAAAGAAATCGGTCGTGTCAAATCCATTTGACATCGTCGTTTCAACAAAGTCGACAAAACCAAATTTGGTTAAATACCAAAAGAAACTGAAAGATGTCATCTCTTTCTATGTTGACAAATTGGGACGTAGTGACGAGTACGAGCCTACTCTCTTTGGTGAAGCAATGTACCAATTGGAACGCCAACAGATAGCATGTTTCTGGGCAATCGATCGACTGGAACAAAAACGACTAGCGGCATGGCGCGAGACTTATCGACGAAACCGCTTACTCAAACTCCGTAATTATTCGTTATAAAGCAAAAATCAATGTGAAATACGGTGCACTATATATATAAAGTGACAAAAGAAATCCCTGAATAAAAGAATACGAATAACAAAATACGAATTTATTTTGGAACTTTTTATTTCTCATTTGATTTTAGGCGGAGTCACGGACTAACTAACTATGTGGCCAAACGTGGACATAAGTAAATTTTAGTTGGCCGGTTTGAAGAATAACATTTTTGCGCTCTACTTTCTTCCTTTTTTGCTTAAAGTTTTATTCGTCTTAGTTATTGAATCAGTTTTAATGGGTGTATTTCTAAGGGCTTCTATGTCGGTTTGGCATTCGAATTTTCATTCACAAATTCGCGTTCAGTGCCATGCATTCGCAACGCTGCCATATGATTTCTATGTAAACATTCGCACTCGCATTCGTATAGCAGTCGTATTTCGCTGTTCTCGAACATTCTCACGAATACGAGTGCGTGTGTTTACATAGAAATCATACGGCAGCGTTGCGAATGCATGCACACGAATGAACGAATGAATTATGTAGTCACAAGTTCGCTGTCATAGCCGCATTCGTCGCATTCGCAAACATTCGAATTTTTGTTCTGTAATGCGAATGCATTCGCAGCATTCGCGAGAGATAAATCCCCTTAGGTGTATTTCTTACTTCCACCATGTCTTTTTCTCTCTTTCTTGGTTTTTTTACAATTTCGTCCATGGACAAGCCTCCACCGAGTTTTGAGAATTGCTAACATCGAACAATCATATTTTTTATTTTGTTTCATTTTTAATTGTCCAGGGACGTCCATGAACAAATTTTATTGAAAATATGTCCACTTGGCCTCCAATTTCATTTCTTTTATATATAAAACAACAAATTAGAGATGATGCCATATAGGTGCTGATGTAAGTCACCAGATTAGCGACATTAATGACCCACACTAACGATTCCTGAATACATAATTGGTATTGCAAAAATAAAATACTAGAATCAATGAATGAATGCAATATTCACGGATAGTTGTCCAAGGACGTTTATTTCAAATTGTTTAAATGTTTCCAATTTCAGTTTGTACATTACATTTTAGTGCTGAATACAACAGCTTTCACGTTGCTGCACCACATATGACGCAGTTGTCTGAAATTTCACAATCAGGACACTGTGCCAAATGATTGGAAGGTACATAAGCGATGACACGTTCATTTAAATGACAAATGACACACTTGGATATATCGTCCAAAATCGTTATGTCACATATGGTTACTTCCAAATCGTCCACATCTTCACTGATTTCTAACGAAGTTGACGATACAACTTCTAAAAATGTTACTTGTTTCAAAAATGCTTCAACATCGTACGATCCATCATTCAGAAGCTCAGAACATTTTTCAATATTTTTATTGCGATTTTGAGTTGATGTTCGACCAGGAAAATGTAGAAATGATTGACCTTTCACAGCATTGTGGAAACGGCCGTATTGTTTTTCGACTTCTCTGTTGAGGATTGAACGGAAGAAGTTTGCATGTTTTGGAGAAAAAAAATTCAATCCATGCATTGTAACTCTCCAAAGAAGATGTTGTTCGAGTCTTGCCCATGGACGAAATTGAATGGTTGCCCATGGGCGTGAAAGTCTTGCCCATGGGCGAAATTGTGGTTTGCCCATGGGCGTGAAAGTCTTGGTTGCCCATGGGCGAAATTGTGGATTGCCCATGGGCGAAATTGAATAGTTGCCCATGGGCGTGAAAGTCTTGCCCATGGGCGAAATTGAATAGTTGCCCATGGGCATCTATGACAAAAGTCTTATGACAAAAGTTTTATGACAAAAAACACTGACCCGACTTTTTGGCCATTTCCGAGTATATTTGAGCCTCTCAAGCCACCAAATCACTATTTTATGTGCATCTAATGATCACATTTGGATTCCTCGTCAAAAATTAGACTAAATAAAGTCAATTTTGGCCATGCATTTGAGGTTTTTCGAGGGTCCAGAGGTGAGTTTTTGCGGAAAAGTAGCCAAAAAATGGATACTTGGTCGAATTTTGACCTACGAAGGCGACAAAATCGCGCTGGAATGATTCCAAGCCGACTTATTTTTATGTAATTTTTCACGATAAATCCAAATATGATAGTCTGAGTGCACAAAAAGTGGGTATTTTTCGAGATATTTCAACAAATAGTCTGAAAAAATCATAAAAAAATGCTCCAGATAAAAATTGAGTGGGGATTGTGGGAATCAACTTTTCGGCATATGTCCCAGAACAAAATTTTCTTCTTTCGAGGTGCCAAATCGATCGCGCACCCGCCGTTTTTGATTTTGTACGATTTTAAAAATTACACCACCCTAGTATACAAGTGATTGAAATTACGGTTTTTCTGTTGGAGCAATGGATAATTTAACACCTTTTTAGTTTTCACTGAGTGCCGTTTGACATGACCGCGAATAAAGAGTGTTTTCTGCGTCCAGCTCATTTTTTGATAGTAGGAATTAAATATTTCTTTTTGACGGACAACACCAATTTTGTGTGAGCAACTTAGCTTCTGCTTTTTATCGTCTAAACATTTGCAAATTATCTGTGCATTGAACACTTTCGCCCGAATGACTCGTTTAGTTTTTTTGGTTACCCGTTCAAGTCCACGCTCAACTCGATCCTTTGCAATGAACGATTTGTGCAATTTATAATTTTGGATTCTTTTTCGTGGACGTGTTGTAACATTTATATTCTCTTTATCGGGGCACA